GGGTATTCTCTACTCTGGGCAAAGTTTAATTTGCCCATGTGTTGAATATTTATAACCCTTTTTTTCTCTAAAAACTCTTCTACCCTTGAATTCCCTTTCTATTCTTACTAATCCCTTTCCTAATAAACTTGACTTTTATAAAATTTTCCTTTTATATACTTTCCTAATTTATTCCCAAACTTATTAAAATATATAATAAATAAAACTTTCCTTTTATAAAATATTTCCAAACTTTTTAAAATAAATCATTAAAATGCCATAAATAATTCAATTTGAATTATTTAAATACTCCATAAAATACTTATTTAAAATAAAATACATATAAAAATACGAGGTATTACAAGGGGGGCTTGTACCCCTATATTCGAGAGCTTGCGGAGAAGTGTGAGTGGTGGTAGCCAACATATCAACGCCAACACCATTGGCGGATCTATGTGGCCACCAAGGGGAGCACTTGCATCCCCTTTATTTTTGCGTTAGAATTATGAAATTTAAGGTGTGTTAAAAAAAATCTATTTCATATTGTAGTTTTTTCTCTCCCATTCTAAAAAGTTGATTTCCTAAAAGATAAATCATACATTATTTCTCCATATAAAATTGCAAATAATATATTGTTTTCGGATTTAAAATATTGCAACGTTTGCGCTTTCTCATTCTAATTTTATATGATTTATACGTAAGGAAAAATAATCACTTGGGGTTATTGTTATTTTTATTGTTACTGTTACTGTTACATACTCATAATTAAAGTTTTTAAAAGGTTAAAATTGTGTATTGAAAAAATGAAAATAGTGATTACTATCCCCATGTTGCAATGTTAAAGGAACAAAAGATGTATGTAAACTTACAGGCTAAAGACGAATTAGAAAGTAAAAACATTATACAATATTGAAACATTAATAATACGGAAATTTCACCAAATGCCCCTGAGTTATTTTTTTATTCACCAAATACCCATCAAAACTTTCAAATTCACCAAATACTCCCGAGTTTAAGAAAAATGTCACCAAATGCCTTTAATGACTAACGGCGGTTAACACCGTTATTTATTAATGACTAATATGCCACGTGGCAGCCTCTAATTGGTTAATTAATTATTAAAAAAACTTTAAAAAAATTAAAAAAAAATTAAAAAAAAAAATACCCAACCATCCAAGACCCACCCCACCCCCAACGCCCGACCACCGCCACCACCGCCACATCCCACCCCTCCCCCTGCGCCGGTGGTCCCTTTTCACCGGCGAGGGCAGCCCCCCACCCTCCGGCACCCCCTCCCCCTACCCCCAGCCCCTTCTCCCTCCGTTTCCCCTCCCCATAAACCCCTGCACAACCTTGAAAAACCCCTTAATCGAAGCGACCGACGTCCAAACCTCCTCTCCGGCACCGGCTAACCACTTTCTTCCCACCCCCCGCCATCCCCACCCCCTTTCCCCCCTAAACTACCACCCTAAAGAACCGAAAAACCCCTTAATCGAAAAAACCCCAAATCGAAATCTAGGGTTTTGATTTGGGGATTTTTCGGTTCTTTAAGGTGGTGGTTTAGGGGGGAAAGGGGGTGGGAATGGGGGGATAGGGCGAAAGTGGTTCGCCGGCGCTGGGGAGGAGGTTTGGATGCCGGTCGCTTCGATTAAAGGGTTTTTCGAGGTTGGGGAAGGGTTTAAGGGGAGGGGAAACGAAGGGAGAAGGGCTGGGGGTAGAGGGTGTCGGAGGGTGGGGGCTGCCTTCGCCGGCAAAAAGGGACCACCGGCGCCGGTTTCCGGCTAAGGGTGGAAGGACCATCGGCGCCGGCGGCCGGTTGATAGGGGGGTGGCTGGGGTGGGTTTAATTGTTTTTTATATTAATTAAGTAATTAATTCAATTAATTAATTAATTAAAAGAGAACCAATTGCAGCATACCACGTAGCCTAATTAACTTTAATGACTAACGGTGTTAACCGTCGTTAGTCATTAAGGGCATTTGGCGACATTTTTCTTAAACTCGGGAGTATTTGGTGAATTTGAAAGTTTTGATGGGTATTTGGTGAATAAAAAAATAACTTAGGGGCATTTGGTGGAATTTCCGTTAATAATATCAACATCTCTAATTTTTGAGTCATATAAGTTTAAAAAATTTTGGACCTCATTTTCAAATTTCTGGATCCGTCACTAGACAACACCTATAAAGATAGTCATTGTAGCAGAAAAAGAGTTCACAAATGGAACTTGAGTAGAGTTAGAAGTTACCACACGAGAGGCCACATGCGTTCCTCTAAGAGACTCAACACGCTGATTAGAGGGAAAATATTGAGCATAAGGATCCCAGGCGAGTACCAGGTGGGCTTAAAGCCTAAGAAATTGCTCCGCTTTCAACCTCAGGAGAGTTTCGAAGAATCACTTCCAGATTTTTCCGAAGTATATCCGGAATCCGAATCGCCATCTCCAACGAGATTGCGATCTTCTAGAGGTATGTCTTTTGGTTCCTCAAGTCGAACCAGATTTGCTTCCGGGTGTCTGTATTTATCCTTGTCAAGAATGCCTCGAATAAAATTAGTGTAGTTATTATGATCACGAGGGCCATACAAAACCCTTATGCCCTTTTTTCAAGAGCAGCAGCACGGTATTTCATATGTCATTTGGCAAATTCTGTATTGACCTTGCAGCGTTCTTTGGAGTGTCCTGCAAAACCATAGTTTTTGCAAAAATGAAAGATTCCCTCATATCTAAAATAAACGAAGATAATTCTATCACCTTCAAGTGGCACAAAGCAGCCAGGAATAAGAGGTTGAGAAATATCAGCAGATAATTTAACACGCAAATCAGCAGTAGAAGGAGGACCCTGACCTGTAAATTCAAATTCTTTTATATAACCAACATGAGACAGAATTTGAGAAGTCCATTCACGCGTCAAATAAAGAAGAGGTAAGCATGGATTCTTAGCCAGATAGAAGCAAAGCCAAAATTACGATGATACCTCCTTAAATTGATGATGCGGCCTAAGGGGAAAAAAAAACTTGAGGAGGGAGAAATTGCTGGAGAAAGCAATTCATTGTGAATTGCAAGAAAGCGAAAGGGAGAATATGGAGCAATGGATGATTTGGATCAAGAAGTATTTTAAGAGGAGGATAAAAGACTTGTGCGATTTTTTTTTAGAAAATTGATGATTAATGTTGGGCTCGTATTAATATACGACCCAGTATACTTAGGGCACCAATCCAAGATAAAAGAATTCCGCAAAATAGACAAAACGGCTTGATTGGAACAAACAAGGAAAGCAGGATCAAGAGTATCAATCAAGAAGATACTTGTCAAGAATACACCTACAGAACAGGGAACAAAAAAAATCAAGAAGATCCTCTACATTTCGAATATATTTTGAATATCTATGTAACCCTATGAATCCCTGGGTATAAATAGGAAGAGTTAGACATTATAACATTCATATACGCTCGCACATAATTCAATATAAGCTATTACTCTACTTTTGTCTACGGATCTGTGTCCCTGCTGAACAAGGAGGCTTGTCCTTATTCAGTATTGTATCTCTAAACTCAATCTCTTTGATCTTATCGAATACTTATTGCTTACTTATTAGTTATTTAATGCTTTATTATCATTCTTAATTGCTTTATATATTATTGGTGGAATGATTGTTATTACCCCCTCAAAACCTAGCAGATTCTTAGATGTCCTAGCTGAGATTTGCCTAAACTATTTGGCGCCCACCGTGGGGCTAATAATCAATTAACCTACCAATTCATCAAAAACCGAGACAATCACCATGATTGGACAACCAGTACCCTTTACCATTGCCAAAATCAATGAAGGAATGAACGCATTCCGTCAAACCTTAGACCAATAGAAAAGCCAAATCAAAACATTGTTGGCCCAAAAGGTCCAAACCGAAGCCAAACTCACCAGCTTAACCAAACAAAATGAAGCCCTCCGTAGCCAAATACAATTAGTTACATCTAAAATCGTTAACACCAGAAAAAGCACCGAAAGTATAGCCATGCAGCTTGACATGTCTCGAACTTTCCACACCCCTAACGGGGAAAAAGGATCTAACAACAGGGAAATTCCCCTAGAACTAGATTCTCTAGATGCAGGAACTCTCAAGAAGGATAGAAAAGAAGGAACTGAGCAGGGAAGAATAGAGAAGGTGGTTAAGGAATACCTCAAGGCATTTGAGGCCAAGATCGCCAAAATCCCTAGAGTGCCAAAGCCCATGGAAGAAGAGGCAGCGGATGGCTATATAGATTCTCCTTTCTCATAAGAGATCGCCATGGTAGAAGTGCCAAAGAGGTTCAGCAAGCCCAACATGGCTATGTACGACGGAACAACAGACCTTGATGAGCACGTGTCCCTCTACAAGCAGAAGATGATGACAAGCTCAATCCCTAGAGATATCAGAGAGGCTATCATGTGCAAAGGCTTTGGAGCCACATTGTCAGGTCCAGCCCTAACTTGGTTCATTAATTTAGATAATGGGATAATTCGATCTTTTGCAGGAATGGTAAATCTATTCAAGATTCAATTTGCTAGTAGCAGGAAAATCGAAAAGCAATCCTCAGATCTGTACCGTGTTGTGCAAAAACACGGAGAATCCTTGAGGGAATATCTTGACAGGTTCAACAAGGAGAAGATTGGGATACACAAATGCGATGCTCTTACAACAATTGAAGTATTCAGAAGAGGGTTGCTAGACCATAGTGAGCTCTACAAAGAGTTGACCAAATATCCCTGTACGACCTTCGAGGATGTACAAGCCAAAGCTATGGCTCAGGTCAGGTTTGAAGAAAGACCCCAGAGCCAGATCGCCAGTCAAGAAGGAACAACAATTTTCCCATGAGAGATCATCGATTCAACCCGTATCAGCGTTCCCGCTTTGATGCAATGAAGGATCAATCAATGCTGTTGAGGAAGAATTCTCACATTGGAGAGAAGATCCTGAACTCCCACCTAAATTGCATGAGTATTGTTTCAATGTTAACCCTACAGGAGTAATTAGGACCCTGAACAAGATGGGAGACACCGTGCAGTGGCCTAGAAAGAGTGACAGGCCTGGAGAGAAGAAAGATCCATCAAGATGGTGCGATTTCCATTCAGATATTGGCCATACAACCGATGAATGTGTCGCGCTCAGAAAGGAGGTTGCTTACCTGCTGAAGAAAGGATATCTCAAAGAACTTCTGTCAGATAGATCCAAAGCTCCGGGGAAGGAAAGAGAATCAAAGCAAGGAGGCCCCCCACCTCCTCCTCCTATTGTCAAAACCATCTGTTTCATATCAGGAGGGTCAGAAGTATGCGGCTTAACATATTCAGCAGCGAAGCGGCATGCGAAGGAAAGCAATAAGGATCAGCCCGACAGAAGGGAAAAATCAAAAGTGGACATTCCCATCATGTTTGAAGAGAGCGATGCAATAGAAGGCCATCATGACAGTCTAGTGATTTCACTCCCAGTTGGAAATTGTATGATCAAGTGAATCCTTGTTGATAATGGAAGCTCTGCAAACATCATCATGCTTGATACCCTGAAACATATGAACATCGACGAGAAGAACATCATCAATAAGTCAACAATGCTAGTAGGATTCAGTGGGGAAACCAAGAAAACAAGTGTAGAAATAACATTAGCTACCTATGCGAAAGGAGTCAACTTACAAGTCAAGTTCCTGGTGATTGACACTTTGTCATCATACAATATAATCCTAGGCAGACCATGGATACATGAGATGAAGGCCATCCCCTCCACGTACCATCAAATCATCAAATTCCCTACCAGGTGGGGTATCCAAGAAATCAGAGGAGATCCTAAGGAAGCCAAGGAATGTTACAAGATCGCACTAAAAGCAACATCTACAGAAAAGAGTTCAGCATAGCAATCAGAGGGTCAGCTGGGCCAAGAGAAATTGAGCATAGTAGAAGAACAGGAAGCCACGGAAGTCCAGCTGAACCCCAACCATCCAGATCAAAAGGTCAGAATAGGATCAGAATTGAATTCAGATCTCCGTCAGCAAATTTATGATTTCTTAGAAGAAGAAAAAGATGCATTCGCTTGGACCCACGAAGACATGAAAGGCATCTCCCCAGATGTGATCACTCACAAACTGAACGTAGACCCAATACATACACCAGTAAAGCAAAAGAGAAGGAAATTTGCGCCAGAAAGGAACAAGATCATCAATGAAGAAATTCAAAACCTATTGAAGACAGGGAAGATCAGAGAGGTGAAGTACCCAGAATGGCTCGCTAACGTGGTGGTAGGCAGAAAAAAGAACGGAAAATGGCGAATCTGCATTAACTTCACAGATATTAACAAGGCATGCCCAAAGGATCCGTTCCCTTTACCTCACATCGATGCCATGGTAGACGCAACAGTAGGGCACGAGCTGCTATCCTTCATGGACGCATATAGTGGGTACAATCAAATCCTCATGCATAAAGACAACCAAGGAAAAAACGCTTTCATCACTAGTCAAGGAATCTATTGCTACAAGGTAATGCCTTTTGGATTGAAAAACGCATGAGCAACATATCAAAGGTTGGTGAACAAGATGTTTGAGGAAAAAATTGGAAACACAATAGAGGTTTACATAGACGACATGGTAGTTAAATCCAAGAAGGAAGATGATCACGTCAGAGACCTTAGAGAAGCCTTCGCCATCTTGAAGCAGTACGGCAAGAAGCTAAATCCCACAAAATGCACATTCGGAGTACAGTCAAGAAAGTTCCTAGGGTACATGGTTACGCAAGAGAGGAATAGAAGCAAGCCCAGACCAAGTCAAAGCCATCCTGGACCTGGAGCAACCAAAGTCTAAGAAGAATGTACAGAGCTTAACAGGAGAAATCGCAGCACTAAACAGGTTCATCTCAAAATCCTCCGACAAGAACAGAGCCTTCTATGAAGTCCTGAAGAAGAACAAGGAATTCAAATGGGAACAAGAGCACGACGAAGCATTTTAGAAGCTAAAGGAGTATTTGGCCAACCCGTTGATACTCTCTAAACCTAAGGAAGGGGAGCCCCTCCAGTTGTACCTCGCAGTGTCAGAAGGGACGCTCAGTGCAGTCCTCACAAGAGAAGAAGACAAAGAGCAATTTCCCATCTATTACGTAAGCAAAACCCTACTCAGTGCGGAAACGAGGTACGCATCCTTAGAGAAAATTATTTTAGCTTTAGTTACTGCCTCAATAAAGCTACGCCCATACTTTGAAAGTCATCCTATACGAGTACGAACCAACTATCCCATCAAAGCCAACATGAGAAAGCCAGAAATGTCAGGGAGGATGGAGAAATAGGCCCTACATCTAAGCAGGTACGATATACAATACGAGTCTAGAACTGCAATCAAATCACAAGCCTTGGCAGACTTTGTAGCAGACTTCAGCCCAGCCCTTGAGGAAGAAGCACAGAAAGAAGTACTGGCATTATGGGAACCAAAGGCTACGCAGAAGTGGACACTCCATACAGATGGCACAGCAAATATACGCGGTGTAGGCCTAGGAGTGGTACTGACATCACCGAAAGGAGATAAAATAGCACAAGCAGTAAGGTGCAATTTCAAGGCCACCAACAATGAAGCCGAATACGAAGCACTAATCACAGGGTTAACTGTAGCAAAAGATACAAAGATACAACACGCAATAAAGGACGCCAGGATGACAGCTTACCTAGAAGTCACAAGGAAGCTTATTAAGGAATTTAAGGAATTCAAGATAGACCAGGTACCTAGAAACTTGAACACTAAAGCAGATGCCTTGGAAAACTTGGGATCAAATATTAACCCAGAAAAAATTGGAGCTATCCCCCTAGTGCACATACTCTCTCCAGCCATAGAGAAAGAATCAACTATGAACGTCTACGAAGTTCAATCAGACTCTACAGAGGAAGAGGACGGTAGCTGGACAAAACCACTGAAAGAAACTCAAGCACTCGCTCTGAAAGCCTCAAAATATTGCCTAATCAACAACATACTCTTCAAAAAGTCTGTAGCAGGTCCCTTCTTACGATGCTTAGAGAAAGAGGAAGCACGACATGTCCTACAGTCCCTACACAGCGGAGAATGTGGAAATCATTCAGGAGGAAGTAATCTAGCCAACAGGGCTCTCGGAATGGGATACTATTGGCCCACCATGAGAAAGGACGTTGCAGAATTTGCCAAGAAATGCTTAGCATGCCAAAAACACGCACCTTTGACACACAGACCGTCAGAAGAGTTACATCCAACGTTGACGCCTTGGCCATTCATGAAATGGGGAATGGACATTGTGAAACTACCCCCGTCATCAGGGCAGAGAGTGTATTTCTTAGCAATGGCAGACTACTTTTCAAAATAGATCGAAGCAGAAGCTTACAAGGTTATCAAGGATAAGCACGTCATCTCATTCATCAAAAGAAACATCCTGAGTAGATTTGGAGTGCCAGCAGAGATCATTACAGACAACGGGTCTCAGTTCATCAGCAACAAGACCACGAAGTTCTGTAAGGAGTGGAACATCTCCCTCATCATGTCCACACCGAGATACCCACAAGCAAACGGACAGGCAGAGTCAAGTAACAAAGTCCTTATAGGCAACATGAAGAAAATACTAGAAGGAGCAAAAGGGAAGTGGGCAGATTAACTACCCAATATACTATGGGCAGACAGAACAACTCCAAAAGGCGCCACAGGTCATACCCCATTCTCATTATTGTACGGATGCGAGGCAGTAATCCCAACAGAAGTTGAAGTCCCTACAGCAAGGTACGGGTTGATGACAGAAGAAAGAAACCAAGCCGAACTAATGCAAAACCTGGACACAATGGAAGAATTAAGGGAAGACGCAAAAATGAGAATGGCAGCATACTAGAAAGAAGTAGCAAGGTCCTTCAACAAGAATGTCAGGGCAAGAGTCTTCAAATCAGGAGATTGGGTCCTCAGAAAGGTGTACGAAAATACTAGAGAAGTAAACGCATGAAAACTAGCACCCAACTGGGAAGGACCATACGAAATCATCAAGGTAGTAGGCAACGGAGCCTACAGACTCAAGAACACAGAAGGAAAAGAGGTACAAAGAAGTTGGAACGCAGCACATCTAAAACTCTATCATTTCTGAAGAACAAAGGTACGTAGTTATCATTTCAATTTCGTTTTCTTTTTACAAAAATTCAAAATATAAAAAAAAAACAAAAAAAGCAACAAAACACAAAAAAAAGAAGAAAAACCAAAAAATCTCCAACAGCCAAAGGCAGCAAGACAGGTACTCTTCTTCACCTAAACTTTGTCAATTCAATTTATATTCACTACGAGTACTGACTTTGGCATCTGAGGGCCGTTGGGGAAACCCACGGCCACCCCTCACCCAATTTTGTTTTGCAAGGACAAACAAGCTACGCTACCATACAAAGCACAAGAAGGCGACAACTATCTATCCCTGCAAGGAGCGCCAACAAGGCACTAGCAACACAAACATGTAAGCAACATTACGTACGTAATACAACTGTAATACAACTATGATGCAATAAGAAATACAGGCACAATATAGCAAAAGAGGTAAAAATACTTAGCAACAAAATAAGCAAATCATCCAGCTGCAACAAGGCAGCACAAAAACAACACAAATTATCCAACTGCACTAGAGAAGTAAAAACAAACATTCTTCAAAAAAAAAAACTTAAATATTGTTCACAACTAGCAGGTGACACAGCACCATGGAAACTAATTCTCCCCAGTGTTATCAACAGGAACCCTCTCTTCAGCAATAGACTTGGAATCCTCAGGACCATCCTTGACATCCTCGTTCATGGGAGAATCAACCTCTTCATCAGCATAGGCTAGCAGCAAGGTACCAGGAGCAGTAGTCCCTGTAGGGAAAGTTTTCTCAAAGGCAGACTTCTCAGCATCATAGTCCCATGCCCCATGCTTCCCCTGCTGGTAATCCTCCATCATCTCCAAGCGCGCCTTTCCAAAATAATAACTAGCCGCGTCAAGAGAGTCGTTTGCAGCCTCCTTCAGGGTACCCTTCAACCCATCCCGATCTGCAAGGCACTGCTTGTACTTGGTCCTTTCAGCCTTCAAAGCATCAGTGGCAGCCTTATACTTATCAACAAGGGCATCACGTTCCTTCTTCATAACATCATAAGCCTGAGTGAACTCTGACACCTTGCTTAATACACCAAGGCACGACTGAAAACTCTGCATCACAACAAGGTCATGAGACGCACAGGGGCACCCAAACTGAGTTCCCGATTTTTTTAAGGGAGTATACTATACCTAGAAAGACTGCGCGACAACCTCTTGAGAAAGGTCAGCGAAAGTTTGTGAGGATTGGCACTCCTTGAAAGCTGGGAAGAGCAAGTTACCCACATGGGGAGCCAAAGAGTCATAAGAGAAGTCAGCTGCATCAATGTCAGCAGGGATCTCAAGCTTCCTCTTAAGGTTGGTACGAGGAGGAGGTGGAGGAGGAGCACTCCTTAGTGGCTTCAGATTAGCTGGAGCAGGGACAT